TTATATTTTATATTCCTTATCCGTATCGACTCTGGCCCATGCTTCTTCTGTATCCATCTATATCAATCCATATGGGCAGGTGTAGTGAATGCACAAGCACCTCCCTTTAACTTTTCCAAATGTCTTTTAACTCACTAGCAATCTATATATACATAACTCATGCCATGGCTCACAGCTTGGCTCTTCATTTTCCAAGTCCATTTGTTTGTTGTTTTTGTTTGTTTGTTTGTTTTTGTTTGTTTGTTTGTTTTTGTCGCTTTTGTTTGTTTTTTTTTGTCGCTTTTGTTTTTTTTTTTTTGTCGCTTTTGTTTGTTTTTTTTTTTGTCGCTTTTGTTTGTTTTTTTTTTTGTCGCTTTTGTTTGGTTTTTTTTGTCGCTTTTGTTTGTTTTTTTTGTCGCTTTTGTTTGTTTTTTTATTGCTTCTTTTAATAGGAGTAGATAGGTTTTCTTATCACCTGGTTAATTTCCTCCCCTTTCTCTTGAACAGGAGTAGACTCATCCCTTGTTTCTTGTTTAGGAAGGGGTTCCCAGAACTTTTCCTTTTCCTGGCCTTAGTAGTATTGCTGTCTTGAATCTCTTGTGTTGTTTGTGGCAACATCTCTTCATACTGAGAGTACTGGGTTGGCAGTTTTCTGGTTGCTGTTCTCAACTGGTAGTTAAGAGCCCAAACTCTTACGTAGCTTCTTGAGAGGCTGCTCTGATCAACAGTTGCATAATATTGGTGTTTCTTGCAGTGCCATGTCATACATGGATGGGTGTCCCTGCATACATCTCTGGTGGGTAACCCCAAGATCACATTATGTTGCAGTTTGCACCAGTTCATTTTTGCTCATGTCACGTTTCCATAAGCAACGAAAAATGCAAACCTAAACCAACTCAAAAAAAAATGATAATCTAAACTCTTTAATATTTCCTTCTCCAATATTCATGATATTCGTATAGACTTCTGCAGTGTGGAATCATTCCTCTTTGATAAATCTGATATACTAGCTAGGCTAACCTTAACTCATCAATCCCTTCCTCTGATTTCTTGATTTCCAGCTATCTTCCTCTCCTTACAAAGAACTCTAAAATCCACATGTACGGCCTGGCTGTTTATGCCCACAATCATATCCCACTGGTTAGGGAACTCTTTTTGGAATCTCCAGACCATTCATGTATGCGTCTCCATCTATCTCTCCTTAATTCAGTAAGCTATATCTTCTTTCTCTACCATTCCCCTTCCTCTCAAGACTGTTGTATTCATGCTTGATGACTTTAATGCCCACCATACCATGTGGCTTAAACACTCTGTAACTGACCTCGCTGGCATCTAAACCATTAACTTTTCAATCACTAAATCCCTCATGCAAGGGGTTGACTTTTCTACATGTTTCCCCAGTAACCCTGACAGTAATGCTTCCTGTCTCAATCCCTGACTCCTGTCGTACTATGCAACTCTGTCCTCTTAGCAATTCTGATCACACTGTAGTGTCTGTCTCCTTCCTCCACTCCAGCCACGAAGCTCCTACTAACAGAATATCTTTGTTATCAACACGCAGACTGGGACACATTCCGTGATTTCCTTTGCTGCATCCCTTAGAATGTGGATTTTAATCATCCCATTCAAAAATATGTCTAAGCTCTCCTCCTGGGTAAACGCCGGCATTGAGGCTGTCATCCCAGCAAGAAAATACCAAATTAAATCATGCTCATGTCCTTGGTTCTCACCTGCTTGCTCTGCTGCTATAGCCCATAGGAATCACTTCTTTTGTCTGTACCAAAGCAATATGTCTGATTACAACAGACTTCTCTTTGTCTCTGCTCATAATGAGTGCCAGCATGTCACTAATGAAGCAAAGTTACTGTTTGGTGATAGAATGAAACAGCATATTACATCTCATAAGTTTGGTTTTAAAGATTTTTGGTGGCTCCTGAACTACAGCAGATCCTCAATCTCTCCTCTATTCAATCAATTTGAAGTTCTAACATCCAGAGCTGATAAGGATTTGCTCAAAAATTCTCATCCAACTCACTGGTGCCTAGTGAGCTATATTCACTGGTGCCTAGTGAGCTATATTCACTGGTGCCTAGTGAGCTATATTCACTGGTGCCTAGTGAGCTATATTCACTGGTGCCTAGTGAGCTATATTCACTGGTGCCTAGTGAGCTATATTCACTGGTGCCTAGTGAGCTATATTCACTGGTGCCTAGTGAGCTATATTCACTGGTGCCTAGTGAGCTATATTCACTGGTGCCTAGTGAGCTATATTCACTGGTGCCTAGTGAGCTATTTTCACTGGTGCCTAGTGAGCTATATTCACTGGTGCCTAGTGAGCTATATTCACTGGTGCCTAGTGAGCTATTTTCACTGGTGCCTAGTGAGCTATATTCACTGGTGCTTTGACTGCATGAATTTAAGTTTGCTACTAGGTTGGCATCTCAGTCCAACTCTTTTACTGTCAAAACAGTTAAATATAACTGCCTCTTCTGCTGCAACAGCATCTTCTCTTACACTTCCC